TGTGTGTGTGTGTGTGTGTGTGTGTGTGTGTGTGTGTGTGTGTGGGAAAGGAGTGTTTTGGCTGATGGCCTCTTTCCCTCCAGCTTTCTTGTGACTTCCCTCATCAGCAGCGGTATCACCATATGGAAACAGCAGGTGTGTGGTGTTGGGATGCCCTCTGCACTGCATGGGGGCAGCCTGGAGAGGGATGGTGGCGCTGCACACAGGAAGGACAGACTTGGGGAGGAGCGGTGAGGGTGTGAGACATGTTTGGGGAAGATTATGGATTCGGTTGTGGAAGTGTAAACCCTCTCACTAAGCTGGTAGAGCTTTCATTTTTTTTTCTCTAAGCATTCATAGGAACTCAAACCGTGTCATTCTTTGCCTTCTTTGAAACACTACATAGATTTACACGCAGGCAAACCCCTTTATTGTCGGATGAAAAGAGGATGTCAACACAGTTCAGCTGTATGAAGGGAATTCTCATAGTGGCTGTCATTTTGTGCAAAAAAAAGTAGGAGAGGAGAAACTGTTTGAAACGTACTCAGACGCACGCAGCCATGGCTCATTATCCAAGCCAGGGGGGAACTGCTACAATAAACACATTCTGTAGCTGTGATTCGCTGCACGCTGGTGCAAAACAGTCACGAGGAAGCAGCCATGCAGAAATACTCTTGTTGTGTGCCTGACAGAGCTCTGTGTCTCCTCTGGGCGCCTGTAACAAGACATGTTTCAGTGGAAATTCCTGACATTTATTTGACCTTCCATGGGAACCTTCTTGCTCCAAAGTTGTGGTGGCTTTTTGAGATTTTGGTGTTGTCACGTTGCAAGTGTTTGTCAGAAAGTGGGCCTCTTAAGTCCGTCTTCAAAGGGTTTATATGTTCTGTATGTTGGGTGAGTGAGGACTGAGGTGGTCAGGGAGAGTCTTTATCCCGTCCCAATACTGCATCAGCCTCAAAGGCCGCTGGTCCATCATCAGTGACAGCAATGACACGGAAAACACAGATCAAAGACTGGGTCCAACCCCCTCCAGCTGCAATAGATTTTTGTGGCCTGCTGTGTTGTTGAATGCCAGGATGGAAGGATGGAGGACAGCGGAGTAGTCATTTATTTCAGTGACATTAACTTCCACAGGGTTTGACAGGTCTAGTTTGTCTCTCACAACTCTTCCGTGTCAGTCTTATCTTTGGACTTTTCTGAAATGGGGTTGTCCTTCGTTTAAATGGGAGTATACAATGTCACATGTATTGAAGAACAAAAGTTCAGATAAAGATATTGATGGTTACTGTGCAGACTAGTGCTATTTTAACCAGTATTTCTTTACCTTCTGTTCACAGCAAAAAGCCTCAGGCAAGGTGCTGTTGGACCTGGTGTGCTCCCACATGAACCTCATCGAAGGAGACTACTTTGGCTTGGAGTTTCAGAACCATCAAAAGATGATGGTGAGTGAGGATGAAAATTAAGAAATACAGATCCTTTTGTTGTACATCTCAGAATTAGCATCACTTATAACTACCTACTTGGTGATGTTTGTTTTAAATCTTTTTTTTCCCCTCCACACAGGTTTGGGTAGACCATATCAAGCCCATTATCAAGCAGCTCAGACGTAAGTGTTTCTAAATGGTTTATTTATTTCAAGGCACCTTTTTCTTTGAATGTTTTACTGTTTTATCTGTAGAAAATAGCCATCAAATCAGCTCACCAGAGCGACTCTACAGATCCATGTGAACTAAATCAAATGCAATCCAATGCAACAGTTCAATGAATCCTACCTCAGTGAAGGTTATAGTGTTCAGTTTTTGTTTGGTCCGGTTTTAGAGTGGTGTTTCGGCTTCATGGTTATTTTGGTGGACTGCATTTGTTTTATCCAGGTGAAACTAGTAAACTGGCAACTGAATGTATTTTGTATTTTTAACAAAACTCCTCTTTGCGCCACAGGACCGAAACACACAATCCTGAGGTTTGCTGTGAAGTTCTTTCCTCCGGACCATGCCCAGCTACTGGAGGAGCTAACCAGGTGAGCTCCTTTCCACATAATTTAACTCTTTTTTTTTATACGTATGTCAAGTTCATACTGGAGTTGGCATTAAAATGTGCTTTTATTTACATTGTGTCAAAGTGAATAACTTCAATTGTGGCTGAAAGTGATTGCCGAAGCATAACTGAGAATATGCCTCAGTTCTCAGTTCCCAGATGATTTATTCCCTCCCCTGCTTTGTGTTGTGTCATGGCTGCCATGTTTCTGATTTAGCCCTCGGGAGATTAGCGTGGAGCTAATGATTTTCTGGTTTCTGTTTCCTCGACGTGGGGCAGACTCATGACTTGTATGTTTTCACAGTCAGAGTTGATTAATAATAGGCATACAGACAGTAATGTCCCTCTAACACGCCTATGTTAGTGTTAAGCTTGGTTAAGACCTCAAAAAGCATACTTTAGATGTTTTTTCCTAAGAAAGCGGGCCTTCCTCCAACAGGAGGTCGGGGAGCAGCGCTATGCATTTGGAATCACAGTTTCATCATGTCCACTGATGAAATACTTTGTATCCATGGACCTCTGACTTTTGGGTGTGCACTGGTTCACTCATTTGTAGTTTCAACTAATGCTTAATTATAATGACTTATTCTTTAACCCTATTGATATACTTTTTATTAAGACTATATCAGTTCTTGCTCTGGCTTGAATCCAAGAGAAGCAGCACTGTGCCACAAGAGTCAGTAAATCTAGACTTTACTCAACTTATTAATTACTGAATCAGAAATGTGCACCTGGCTTAACTTCTTTTGGAGGTCTTGTGTGAACTTAAAAGAACCAGTGTAGATTATATAGAATCAGAAATGTAATTCAGTCGCAGCAACTCCCCTTGGATGTTCTGTTTGAATTCAGCAGTGCACGGTGTTTCTAATTGACTTTCATTTGATCTCGCTCCAGCGCTGGAAACCACCACCACGTCTCCTCTTATTGAATCTGTGAAAACTGTTTGCGTGTGTGTCCAGGTACCTGTTTGCCCTCCAGATCAAACAGGATGTTTCCTGTGGCCGTCTGACCTGCAATGACACCAGTGCCGCGCTGATGGTCTCCCATATTATCCAGTGTAAGTTCCTCGTGGCTGCTTCCTCATTTAGCTCAAGAGTCGACTGATCAGATAACTGTCTTTGAAGACGCACTATGCTTTTTTTTCTCACACGGAGCTTATCATCAAATGTTGGCATATAGCACACTGCGCACATCATCGCAAATTGATTATCTGTGTGTTGCTATGGATACCTTTATTAGTCTTGCAGAACTGCTCCAGAACAGCCTCGCACATCGTGGTAGAAAATACTGAGCATTCTCATAACCTGACATTTCTGAGCCACAGTCTGATCCCCAGAAGAAAAGCAAAGACAACACGCATGCTGTTTGTGTCTACCGTATATCTAAAGTAGACAATAAACAAAAGAGTAAATAAAGTCTATTCACACAAGGAAATGTCTTTCAGTGTAGAAGTGTTCATCCCAGTAGAGCTCAGAGAAATGGTGAATCTGTGCCAAGGAGCATTTAATCTATTCTGGTGGCCTTTGAAAGGGACATATCATGAAAAACGTGTTTTCTGCAGTACCTAATTGTGAAATAGAACAACCCAGTCAGTTTTTTGTAAGCTGCCTTAGATCAAAAAGCATGTCATATGTCACTTGCAGGCTCATTAAAAATATACTGCCCTCATATCTTTCCAAGCCAATAAGAGCAGACTAGGCTTTTTTGGGAGTGTATGAGAAAACGATGTGTTTTTGAACACTAAAGCATGTAAATGTATTCTACTAGAATCAAAAAATATGTATTAACCTGAAAATGGGCATGATATGTCTCCTTTAATGTTGTTTTTTTACTTTAATTTGGCACATGTCATTATTTTGTAGCAGGTTTTTCTACAATAAAATGAACTTTTTCTTTCTTTTCCTCACTCTTCAGCTGAGATTGGGGACTTTGAGGAGAGCCAATGCCGGTCACACCTCCTCAACAACAACTACATCCCAGAACAAATGCCCCTGATTGACAAGATCATGGAGTTTCACTCAAAGAATATGTGAGTTTCTGCAACTGGAGTACTGTGAGGTGTGCAAACATCTTTAAATAAGGCATTTTCTTTGATGCATTTATAGTTTATTTGTAGCTCTCTTCATAACATCACCGAAACCATGGCTGAAAAACAACTATTCTCTTCACCATTGAACAGGATCAGTTGATTCAGTACTTGTGTGTGTCCCGCTGTAGTTTTATTATACAGGTAACACTGACTTTTTAAGAGCTTATTCTTACTGGTCTGATGCACGAGTTTGTGCGAGGTGAAATATCAGCCTCAAGTTTAAAAGAGGTATGCTGCTGCTGGGAGTATATTATTGGAAGCTTTCCAAATCTCCTCCCACCATCCTCCCTCAAAACGTCCTCATCAGCGCACGTATTTGAATCCGAGCATTGCCAACCCTTGTCTCACCTATACGTTACATTGGGCTCATGCCAGAGGTGGACACACAGTTGGCAGCTGCTACACGAAAGGAGCTTCATTAGCTTTGACTGCTCTTTTCCAACCAAGGCTTTTTTATAGTTGACAACTGTAACTGCAGTTCTTTTGGCTGGGTGCCATGCAGAGTTAAATCTCTTATTAAGTACCACACAGGAAACAGGAAGGCTTATGCACTGATAAGAATTAGGAACGTTTGTTAGTATTTGCAACCCTTCCTCCCCCAACCTTCCACCACTGCTCCCAAAAACTCAGATTAAACACTAGAAACCTGGATCCACTCAGACTTGGTCTTTTCACCTCAATTAGTGAGACACACAGCAGGACGATAAGCTGGGATTTAATTTATTTGTCCAAAAAGTTGCTGAAAGGATAATGAATACTACAGTGTGCACTTAAAACCTGCAAGTAAGATTAGTTCTTTTAATGTAGCTGTGTCACCCTCCCTGCTGTAGTCCTTTTTAAAAATGCATACTTGTGTACAATACCAATACATACATTTATGGATAAGTTAACTATGATTCTGTTTTATTCTATATGTTTCCTACATTCATATACCTATATGTATATTTCTTCAACAAATCTCATGAAAAGACGCAAACCAATAATGAGCTAGTCGAACACTCAGTACTTGCTGACTCTCTGCCTTTTCTATGGCTCTCAGTTCCCAGTTACTCCTACACATGAATCTTTCAAAAAAGAACATTTTAAGAAGGCTTAGTGATTTACTAACACAGATGGGCACTGTAGTTTATTGCAAATGTGACGGAAACTTAATTAAATAGTGCATTCGTTGAGGACTATTTTCAGCTGTGGATTGCAACACATGTGGGAGTATTTACAGCAGCAGGATGGTCTGTATAGAATTAACTCAAATAAGCTACAGTGCGCACATTCACGGTAACGAAGACACATGTGCAGCAGTGGCTTGCTGTGGCTTATTTGCTTATTTACTACACAAAAACTGTTATTAGTGGCATGCATTATTTGTCGATTTTTATCTTTTCATGGGATTATTTGTCAAAAAGGATAATGTAAAACATCGCCAGCCTTAGTCTCTAACTTGTAACTGTTGTGCTTTGTGTTGCTAGAGGTCAAACACCAGCAGAATCAGACTATCAGTTACTAGAAGTGGCTCGCAGGTTGGAGATGTATGGGATTCGCTTCCACCCTGCCAAGGATCGTGAGGGCACGAGGCTAAGCCTGGCTGTGGCGCACACTGGTGTCCTGGTCCTTCAGGTCAGTCACACAAGTTTCTAGGTCAACGCGTGGTGTGTTAAGGGTGGTTGGTGTAATAAGTCGTCTGCATGGTACCGATGGGATGAAAACTTGTGGGTCATTTGTGCTTCAGAAGATATGTTTAGTGGTAAAAATGTTATGTCTTTTTTTATAGCTTGAGATATAAAAGTTGTTTTTTATCACTGTAGGGGCACACAAAGATTAATGCCTTCAACTGGTCTAAAGTGCGTAAACTGAGCTTCAAAAGGAAACGCTTCCTCATCAAGCTGAGGCCAGATCTAAATGTAAGTGAATTGCACAGTGTAATATAGAAAATCCATCATCAAAAATCGTGTTTGGTGGTGTAAGTTATGTTTTTGTGTGTAACCCAGAGTTCATATCAGGACAGTCTGGAGTTTTTGATGGGCAGCAGGGATTGCTGTAAAGTCTTCTGGAAGATCTGTGTCGAATACCACGCCTTCTTCCGCCTCTTTGAGGAACCCAAGCCCAAGCCCAAACCTGTGCTCTTCACACGAGGGTCCTCCTTCAGATTCAGGTAAGTTTGCATCGTAAAGCTGCTCTATGAATCTCAAGACTGTGGCCACACAACGCTGTCTCCGACATCACTTAACGGTCTACTACAGCTCTCCAAGAGTTATCATCTCTCCTCCACTTGTCTCTACAGCGGTCGCACACAGAAGCAGGTGATTGATTATGTGAGGGAGTCTGAGTTTAAAAAGATCCCGTTTGAAAGGTAAAGGCTGTGACATTTTTGACACATTTGGTCGAGGCGAGGGCACTCAGAGTGTGTAACGCTGACCTTCAACATCCTGTCTGACAGGAAACACAGTCGGGTCCAACAACACAATATCCGCCTGTCGCCGTTGCCTTGTCCACGCCACCATGAAGTGCCAACAGAAGTGAGTGACTCAGTGTTTTTAGTGCATTTACAGCAGATAATTATCTGCGTCGTTTGTCACCATAAGAATCGTATTATGGTCATTAGATTGTGCTTCCATTCACACAACAAAAAGCCTCAATAGTACTTTTTCTTGAATATTGATCAATACATTACACTCAATACATGCCTGGTCAGACACTTGTGAATGAGATGAAAACTATTTTGATTGATAAACGTTGATAAACGCTGTAGGACAGTACCTGAGCCTGCCACGGATGAAGTCACACCTCTGGTCACTGCAGTTTGTACTAAAAAAATAGAAGGACGTCTTAGATCGCAAAGGTTCAGTGCCCTTGTCAGGTTTACAATTCAATTTTCAATTCAATTTTATTTCTATAGCCCAATATCACACATTTTCCTCAGAGGGCTTTACAATCTGCACGGCATAAGACATCCTCTGTCCTTGGACCCTAACATCGGAAAAAGGAAAAACTCTTTAACCTTTACATATCGCCTAGGGGTCTTCTTTTGCTAGAGTATTGCTACATTTATTGGCACATTACCACCACTAATTGTCGATCACCAGGAATGTGTATTCTGCCTCCCCCGTGCACATATGCGTGTACATGTGGATCCTCTGGGCATGCTAGAATTAAAACAGCTCCACATGGCCCTACAGGTGGTCAAAAACTCTCCAGGCTACCTTCAAGTCAGATAGAATTCATTAAAAACACCATTAACAATCAAATCAAACGTAGTAAAAATAATTATACTCTTGAAATGTTTTAATTGTCTGCCTTTGTCAATTTCTGTCAGAGTGGCGCTCCCGCGGAGAGAGTAGACTCTCCCTCTCGGCGTCATTGGAAGGAGTCTGTGTTGGTGAGTGCAGAAGACCCCTCTGCCTCGAGGACAACCAGGGCCAGCCCGTCTCACCAGAGAAACGGCCACGAGGACAGAACGGGATCTGATTCCAGGACCGAGGAGACAAGAGGCTCGACACGACAGACCCACCCAGAACATCTGAGTAAAGGTCCAGCATCTCAGACTGCTAAAGGCAACAGCTCTTCCATCCCCTTCACTGACTGCAGTGATGTAGGTAGTGAATATAACCAGGCTAAACGGTTGAATCACAGTCATAGGGAGCAGCCCATGCTCCGCTGTGGGTCTGGCTCTGGAAGCATAAACGGGCCTCTGCAGGAGCAGCTTCTTGGTAGGGTGAGGTTCAGGGAGTCCCCTTCCTCCTCTAAGCAATCGCTCAACGTGAGCCTTTACTTTGACGAGTCCGTCAAGCAGTCACACCAAAAGGTTGACCAGACTCCTGTCCATGGTGCTATGGTGGACCTCAGTGCCCAATATAGAGAGAGGCATAGCAGCAGCCATCTCACAGCCCCACATATGGGTTCAAGGAGTGGGATCACCAGTCCTGCCATGGACAATTATCAATCAAGCTCCCTCAGTTACGCTGAGCAGAACGGCTTCAGCTCTGCTCCCCCTCACTGCGAGGACGGCACATACTCCTCAGTCCCAAGCCGCTCTCCTCACTTACAAAAGAGCCACAAAGTGCGTCACCACTCTGAGACAGACCCAAACCAGGGGACGTCCTCCCCAGGGCAAGGATCGCATCCTGTCCTCTCTCGGGCTGACCGTATGGCTGCTCTTGAGCGTCGCATGGTGGCCAATGGCCTGTCGGTAGCGGGCAGGTCCAAGGCCAGTCCAGGGCTGAAACGCTTAGGGCAGGCTGGTGTCACACACGTGGGCCCGGTTCACATGAATGACTGCTCCACTACCAGTGGTTCAGAGTCCAGTGAGTCTGAGATGGAGACTAACAGCAGCCCACTGATGGTTGGTAATCCAGTGGAGGCTAACTCCACTTCCCCTATACCCAGGAACAAGTTTTCCTTTGGCAGCCTCCAGCTAGATGAGGAGGCAGATGAGGACGGATGCCATGTCTTCAGTGATGAGGAGGGTGGACAGATTTTCAGCTGTTAGTGCAAAGACCGCTTCAAACCATCTCCACAGGAGAGTTTAAAGGGTTTAGTTTGGGTCCAGATGGTGTAAGAAAAGCAGGGTTCAGTGGGTGACAGATTATTTCGGTCAGAGGACGACTCAAATCTCCTCACACTCCATGTTCACCGTTAAGCACAGCGGTACCTACTAGTAGCTCTTTTTGAGCCCAGCATCAGACTCTTTTTTTTTTTTTCATCGGGAGGCGAGATTTCAAGAAGGAAGGAATATGTTCAGGGTTTTCTTGTTTGTTACACTGAGGAGGTTTATCTATCAGCCGCCCAGTTCTTTGATTGTATTAACACATCTCTTCAGAAATACACAAGTGCCATGTTAGGATTTGAACAGCTACTAAAAACTGCAGAGACTTCAGGGAATTAGTGGCTCTGTTCTTGTCCGTTTCGAGCTTGAGAACGATCGAAGGAAAATGTATTGTTACAGTTGCACTTTTTCTTACATTCTCTCCATTCATTGTATATTTAGAACAAGGTCTACCGCAGCGTGAGTCGTTCAGTTTCTAGGTCTCAGATGCCTTATGACTTCCCACATCATTTCATTATTGTCTGCAGGCATTTCTCTTTTCTGTTAGATTGATTAAGTTGGTATAATGTGGCACATTACACACTTTGCACTCATTATCGTGGTACATCCACGGCTCCTAAAAGACTTTGTCGACATTTATTGGTACTCTTGATGCTACATCTGGCTTTGATCTGTTGTGAGAGTAGTAAGTTCTGTATAAAGGTGGAGTTCATATGAATTAATATACTGCAAATACCAGTGTGAACACCTGATAGATATTCAATAGTGTTTATGTTTACACTACCTGCTGCTCTTTACAAACTTGAAACAGAAACGTCATGTTTTATTCACATAGCTGGTAGGAATTGGCAGCAGCTAAAACGGTAAATATAAGCTCACAATACCTTTTGAATATCATTCTAATTGTGTTAGAGCGGCAGTGGCTTGGTCATTGTCTGTTGCAGCCATAATTTTTGCCACTCCACAACAGTTTATGGCTCTTATGCTCACCATTGACATCCCCCTCTGCGCTTGACTCATGCTCGAGTGTCTCTCTCTCTCTCTCAGTGAGTTGGTATCAAGCTCAACCCCACAACAGCCATAGTGTCAACAAAATCTACACTAGTTTCCAAATATTGCAAAGGTCTCAGTCTTCTTAACAAAATGCCACTGCACTTTTATTTATTGACCACTTTTCCAGATTTCTTTTGCACTTCTGCCCTCATGTTTGTTTGTGTTTGTTGATGATCTTTATGTCACATTTCTGTTTCTTTCTTTTATTTCTTTGTCCGATGTACGCACTCTGTCTGTCAGCACGAAACTGTCAAATCTTTTCTGTTTTGTTTTGTTGCATGTGAACCTGTTTTGTCGCGCTCACTACAGTCTTGTGTGGTGGAAAGAGGCAAGACTACCAGAATCTGGGTTACCTTCCCTGCAATGATCCAGCTCATGGATAATTATTCCAGAGCCGATAGAACGTCAGCTCGAGGATGACGGCATCTTGGGGAAATATAGGAAACTAGAAGCTGGTTTTAGTAATCCTGTATGTGTGGTAGGCAGTTCATGGGCAACACCTCAAAGCATCCAGTCTCTTGGCTCATCCATCACTGTCGGGCTGCTTTTGTGCTCCCAGACCTTTTTAGCATTGACGTCAAGCAGCATAATGAGATTTTGTTGTTGTATTTGGATCAGGATCGATCTCTTTTCTTTATGAGCCATTTCAATTACAGATGTCTTTTGGATTTCTAAATTATCATTATATATTGTTATTCAACATGGACATGATAAGACTCCAATAGGCACCCAGGAGCCTGCTTCAAAGGTTCAAAGATGCTTGAAATAGATTACTACAGCACAATGAAAGAGAACATGTGTTTATTTGTGGGAGTAACTGGATCACTGCAGTGTGAGGAAACCCTCTCTGGTGCACAAAGCTCTCACGCACACCTGGAATGACATTCTGCCACACGGAAACTAAGTCATTTGGATCAGATTGAAAATACCAGTACGTGAATTTGGTCCAAATCATCACACGTGTTGGTTCGGCTTCAGGTCCCAGGTCTGTGGGGGAGACGTGTTTTGTTTTTCCAACCTTCTTCAGGGTGTTTTACCAGTGCATGCTGTGCTACACCAGATCCAGACTCTGTCTGCCCTCTGCATGTACTGAATGTCCTGTAATATACAGCTAGTGCTCTGCAGTCACTTCACTGCAATTTCACAATTTAGTACAACAGACTGGAGAATGTGATGTTAGAGCAGATTTTATGACGAGGAAATCATGCAGTGTGATTTGCTGCTGAATTTAATATACAGTATTTTTTTACAGCTCACCATTTCACTATTTCAAGTAAATCGATGTTAAACTTTAGTTGCATTCATGGACTGAATAAAGCACAAAGTTTTCTCATTACCAACTGACTTTTAAAGGACGGCAATAACAAAATCATAAAAGGTCACAAAGGCTGTTTATTTGAACATTCATAAAGATCTGTTTTATATTTAATGTTCGGTAAACTCTTGAGGACTGCATGAGTTCACACTTCTTTTACTACACTTTCCCTTCAGCGTCACCTGGCTTTGACCTTTTAATGCTGCTTTTCTCAAGACTTATATTAATTTAACAATGTATATTATGTTCTTTTAGAGTCAATAAAGATGACCTTTATGACATGAGGTTTTTCCAAATCTTCTTTTTGAGACCCCGGTTAGTTGCTGTCTGCTGCTCATTGTAGATTCCCTCTTCACTCTCCCTGTAGTGTTGGCGGATAGCCGTGTCTATGCCGTTTCTTTCTATTCTCACTTGTAACAATCTTGTAGACGTGTACTGTGGTTTCCACTCCTTCCCTCCGTAGAGGTCATAGTAGAGTCGTGCTGGTTCGTGTGCGTGTAATCACTGTTGTGTTTGTGTCGAGACACCAGAGGACAGCAGAGAAAGGTGGGCAAGTTGCAGATAAAACATAGTAAGTAAGCTCAGTGAACATTGTCAGTATGGATGACACTAAGCGAGCTGTTCCTCTTGATCATCCTTTGGTATGTGTCTCGGCTCGCGTATTGATTGACGCTGCAGGAAGACTGCCGGAGATGTCTGGACTGTGGAGTGAGTCATGGCTGATGTCTCAATCATACAGGCAGAGCAGAGCAAGACTCTGGTCCTGGGTCAGACTGTTTTTGTTAATACTTCAGATTGTTTGGTGCAGCCTGCATAGTCTCACAAGGGGCTGTGTTTGCCATGTTGGATTATGAAACGCTGGAAAGTGTAATTCATATAACAATGTCCCAAGAGTGTCTGTGGAATTAGACTTTTTTAATTTCTCGATTAATTGATTCAGCATTTATTCTACAAAATGTCAAAAAATAATGAAAAAAGTCCAAGGTGACTTCTTTTTTGTCCAACCAATGATTGAAAAACCCAAAGATATTCATTTACATGTTTATATATAAGAGAAAATCGACAAGTCCTCTGATTTTAGAAGTTTGAAATTAGATTTTTACAATAGTGGCTGTTAAATTTTCTGATCCTTTTATACAGCAAATCAACTACTTTGCTGTGTTTTTGTGTCACTGACTTCATATTAATTCTCTCAGTGACCCAAACTCCACCCATCTGAGACAAAAGGCTAAGAATATATTAGATTTCCTGTTGTGTTTTCGTGTCTATTTGAATGACTTAACTTTTGTATTTTCTCCCCTCACTTTGGTTGCTGATCCCGTGCAGGAGTGGTGCCCAACAGCCCTCACCTGTCTGCGTCCTCTGATCACTCACATGGCATGGTCAATGGTCAGAAGTCCCTGGAGCTGTGCGGTCACAGTCCCGACGGCCGACAACTGTCCCCCCTCACCAGCCCGCTGCTGTACGACGCCGGCTGCGTTCGCACTGACGATGAGGACGAGGTTCGAAGGAAGGTTTGTGATTTATTGGTACTTCTGTTGATAAAAGTAATAATAAATCACTTCAATGAGGTTTTTTTTACTAAACTTGTGCTACAAAGCCAGTGTCACATACTTAAAATATCACTGGAACCAGATTACCTGTCCTAAATAACTCCACAGGGACTGAAGCGGAGTGTTTTCCTGTAAGTCTACTCAGAGAAATAGGTTACACAGGCACTACACCAGCCAGACTTGCTTATAGCTGGATGGTTAATTTGTTCTCGCCCACAGTCTCCTCTCTGTTGTGATCTCTTTGCAGAGGTTCCCAACAGATCGGGCCTACTTTATCGCCAAGGAGCTGTTGACCACAGAAAGGACGTATCTGAAGGACCTGGAGGTGGTGACTGTGGTAAGAAACAAATGAAAAAGTCTATTCGCCAACACGCTGCTCCACTGTTTTGTTTTTTTCCTGCACTGTCCTCAGGGGAGAAAACATTGATTATTCCGGTTATCTGCTCAACTGCGGAGCGCCCGCCAAAACACAGACGCAGGCAGTGACACAGGGATACTTTGGCAGATGCGGTTTCATTTCTTATTCATTCCCCACACCCGTGCTCTGAAATGCATTTATCTCTCTCACTCAAGGCTGTGAATACTAAACTGAGTTTGTATTTAAAGAGATGGATAGATTCAGCCGCATGTTCCCTCTACATGTGACTCCCCATTCCAGTCTCTTCCTTTAAATTACTCTGGCTGGGTACAAGCATGGACTTTGATTTGACAGTTTCTCAAAGGAAATGCAGCAGAAAACAGGATAGTAAACGTGCGCTACACAGCTCCTTCAACAGCGAACGAGGAGGATGTTCTCACTAGGCCGTACTGAAGCTCCGCTGTTGTCTGATTCACCGCAGGAGAAAATGCATGACTCCTTTTCACTGGCGTTTTTTAAAGGCTGCAGCTTTTCCTGTCATGTGATTTTCAGAGAAGCCTCCCACACGTCTCATAAATATTTGGGTTGGCTCGTGTCCTCGTTCTTTTTACAGCTGTGTGTGTGTGTGCCATGTCTCTCTTCCCATGCACTGGTTGGTCCTGCTGTTTGGGGTGAAGTCATCCGAACAACAGCTGGCCCTTCTTCTCAAGCCCTTCTAGAAACACTCATGTTTGCCTAAACTTTCCTTTCCCATCACGTCAGCCTAATAACGCTATTTTCATGCGCCCTTGTGGCAAAACACACAACATGCAATGTTTGACTTCCCTCTGACTTAACGGAGCGATAGTGATAAGAGTGTTTGGGTGTTGCTCTTCCATTAGGGACGGTACAAGACTGAAGTGTAACAGCAGATAAAGGTCTTTTGGAGGTATCCTGGGAAAATCTTCATTAACACATTATATGAAGAGTCTTTGCTTGTGAGAAACTTGAGACCAGAAAATCAGGACACGCGTTAACTGATATCATCGAGAGATTACCATAGCAGTGCAATTTCATCCATGATTTGTCCAATCTTGCAGTTTTTGCATATCATCCAAGTGAGCTTTGTTACATGGTTGCTTTATCGGAACCAGGAAATGATCCACCAGCACTCTAAAATATGTTTTGCTTATTGTTACTTTACGTGAATGTTTGACTTTGACAAGTGTGATGTGGCAGTTTGAAACCTCTGATGCACACACGCTGAGAATTGGAGTGAAGTATCTAGCAGTAAACATTTGCATGGATACATATTCTGGATTCTGGATATGTCATTGAGGGACAAGGAGTAGAATTATTCCCTTAAAGATTATTCCCTTTACTTTTTTAGTATTTTTCTTTTTCTTAAAGCATGTCTGAAAGACATCCTCTACCTTTTTATGTGGATGTCCGATCAGTGTTGATGTAAATGTAGTCGATTGAAGCAATAAAATCCCCAGTGTGTGCTACATTGACCCAAAAAGCTGTTTTTCCTCCATCCAGCAGCGTCACTTGACGTGAGAGTAACATAGTTGGGTGCAAGGAAAATCTACAGGCTGCTTCAGCTTGTACTTCTAGTCTCTAGTCTAGTCCAGGGGGCTGCATGTTGCATGTTCTAGATGCTTGTATTGGAGACTAGCTTTGTTTCCAACAGCACAAATGGCATCCTAAATCCCAGCGAAGAGGATGTTATGGATGAGGATACATTCAATTTAAAGTTTCTGGGCTGACTCGAATATTCAAACGTATTTACAGTGTTTGAGCCGTAGCAATGCATCAGTGAGAGGCCGCGGCTGCATTAGCCGTGAAACAGGATGCTTTCCCTTTTTAATGTAAAACAAAATAGTATCTTTCTTGAATGTGTGTGCATTTGTGATGTCAGTCTTTCCAGAGTGCTGTAGGACAAGACGAGGCGACTCCAGACTCTCTGAAGAACACCGTCCTCTCCGCCTTCGAGCCTCTGCACAAGTTCCACGAAGGTTTTCTCAGGGAGGTGGAGCAGAGGCTGGCTCTGTGGTGAGACTATTTCACTTCACTTCCAAAAAAAAAAAAAAAAAAGGTCCCTGTAGGGTTCAGAACCTGTCCAGTGAGGTGGTGGTTTGGTTGTAACCCAATTAAACCACAATTCCCCCTTTATATTAATGAGATGTATTGGCGTTTAGTCTGAGAGGGCAACCCGGCGCCTTCAGATGACCCGAGGAGCTATCATCTCCATGGAAACAGTCGTGCTGCACCACGGCCGGCCTTCTCTTGCCTTTGGGTTTCTGCTGTCTGATCACTCACACACACACACACACACACACACAGATATGCAGGCAGTGATGCATTAAGCCCTCATGTCAGAATTTATGGCCATGTACTGCAGACATGAAGCGTTTTTATTTCAAAGGCTATTTCGGCTGCACATTGTTAGACCTCTGAGTTAAAGCTGAGAGTGATGTTACAGTCAACTCTGCTGATAAGAATCACATTCAAATGTAGATGCAAATGATAAAGCAATGCACGTGTTGCTTTTTTTTTGTTTTTGCTTTGCATACTCAAATATTCTGGTGGAGATGTACCTTTTGTAGTTGTGAGCATGAGTAGAAAGGTGATATAGATTAGGAAGTATGTGTTTTACAGTGCGGATATTTTCTCAAGTGACTGCTAAAATACTGTCCCAAAATAATAAGATATTCTGAATGAATCCTGTGATGGCAGCCCATTAACTCCTTGTGTGGAGGAAGTAATGCTCAAGGGAGACACCTGCTGGTGGATCTTTTTCTCCAACTTGCATAAGCTACAGCTCGTCTGAATCATCAATGAGCTAATTTAAGTGCTTTTGCGTAGAGCGTAATTCACGGTCTGCCAATGGCTCCATAATGTTTTAGAGATTGAAAAAAAAAAAAACATGCTCATGCTTATCTGTTTTAGGGAGGGACGCTCCAATGCTCACATAAAAGGAGACAACCAGCGCATTGGAGATGTCATGCTGAAGAACCTTCAAGGCTTGAAGGTGAGGCGCCACTCTTGCACATCTGTAATTACAGTAATGAATTTAATACTCATTTATGTGTGCCATATTCCAACTTAATCCATAGCCCCTGACAGCAAACCTGCATAAACAGTCTGAAGTTCTGTTGGAGCTGGAGAAGGCATGCAGGGCATCCCGCAGGTTGGAGGGTCTCTGCAGGGACTTTGAGCTGCAAAAGGTCTGCTACGTCCCCCTCAACGTCTTCATTCTGCGGCCTCTGCACCGCCTCAGTCACTACAAGCAGATCCTGGAGCGCCTGTGCAAACATTATCCAGCTACCCATGTGGATTTCAGGGACTGCAGAGGTACTACGCTCAGGCCCAGTTCAAAGAGGCATATTTAGAGGCCTTCTGGTGCTGTAGAATAATCTCAACAGTCTATCTCCAATAATCTCTTGCCCCTGGTTGGTCTGCAGCTGCTCTGGCAGATGTGTCCGAGGTGGTGGAGCAGCTCCAGGGAAGCCTTATCAAGATGGAGAACTTCCAGAAGCTTCTGGAGCTGAAGAAGGATTTGATTGGCCTTGACAATCTTGTTGTTCCTGGTCGGGTGAGTTTTTTTCCAAGTGAGGCTTGGAAGAATGGACTGGCAAAGCTTTTAAATTCTCTACAAACACCGTGTAAAGTATGTGTCTAAATAATGTATGCATGCCTTTTGTTGTGTCCTCTTTCTCAGGAGTTCATCAGGTTAGGCTGCCTCAGCAAACTGTCTGGAAAAGGCCTCCAGCAACGAATGTTTTTCCTGGTAACACCCACTTTCTTTTTGGATCAGGTCATATCACTAATCAAACTATTTAGTGGAGGGATCTCATCCTTTCCAGCTATACATCGCTCAGATGGTGTTGGCAGATGTCGTACTACTACTGAAGTTAATTTAGAGAAAGAATACCACATGTTGCTCAGAACATTAGAAAATGTAGAAGTGTGCATGTGTGGTGGAGCCTTGTGGTGGGCTGTTGAACAATTTATATTGTGCTTGTTATGACAAGTGGTTTGCACGATACACATTCAGTTTCGTCATTTTAGTCAGTTTAGTCATTTTAAACAAAAGACAACCCTCAATGGTATTTAGTTTGAAAGAGCGATAGTTTACTTTTTCCACTTTCTCCCTCCCTGCCTCTCTAAATAGTTCAACGACGTCATTTTGTACACGAGTCGAGGGATGATGGCGAACAATCAGTTCAAAGTGCACGGCCAGCTGCTGCTCCATGGCATGACAGTAAGTGCTGTTTCTCTCAATTGAACACAAAGTGCGTCAAACGGCTGTCACCAGTTTGTCATTACTGAAGATAAGCCGCCTCAGCGGAACAGCTGTACTGTAGCTCTTTCAACGTCTTACCCCACCACACACACAACATCTCTTTTCAACATCTCTCCCTTTCTGTCTATTTTTGGTCTTCGCTGTCCTAGATACCGCTGCTCTCTCATGTTTTTTTCTGTGTTCGTATTCCAGATCAGAGAGAGTGAAGATGAGTGGGGTGTGCCTCACGCCTTCACATTGGTTGGACAGCAGCAGTCTGTGGTGGTGGCAGCAAGGTAAGAACAGTTTGTCTTAAGTGTATCTTAAGTGCATCTTGTACCTGGACCTAAAATTAACCCAAAGTGAAGTGTGGCCTGTCTTCTTCTGGAGTATTGTGATTTTTGGTGTGGAGACATTTGAGAATCGTTACATGAACTCTCGTAAGATGCAGTTAAGCTCTCAAAAAGAAGACTTGACAGACTTGTAGAAAAACAAAGACATACACATCAGCAACTGCGTAATTTCCACCTAGAATCTTTTTTTATTTTTTATCACCCTCACTTTACAAAATCTCTGTAAATACAGTCTTTTTGTCCAGGTGTCGTCCTCCAGACAAAAGAAAGACCTGATAAAAATGCTGATACTCTCATCAAGGTTGCTTCCATGTAGTCACCTTGAGCTTACAGCAATAAAGCTTCTCTGCACATTTTAATACTGTAATAAGTTCTATATCATAATAAGTTATGATATAGAAATTTTGTAATCATAGTTTTAATTACAGAAAAACAAAACAAAAATTCAAAAAGCATGTTATTGGGGTTTAAAAAAAGTATTTAATCAATATTTGTATTGATAAATAGTCAATATTCTCCTAAAAAGATGCCGGAATTGAGCATTTATCAAAGAAAAGGCGCTAAATATCTTACGTAGTGAAGATGCAAATGCAATATGTATGTATATGTATGTAAGACCATATGTATAAAGTGTGAGTGTCATCTGTTATATAATTTCTATCACTCAATCTCAATAACCAATTTATTAATAATGTGTTAACTACTAGATTGATATAAACATATATAAATGCCGGAAATACAATTCACATCTTTTCTTTTTTTTTCTTACGCCATATGTTAACTTTGCCACTTTTCTCACTGTGACAAAGATGAAAGATAACTACTCTCCTGCCTTCAAACTAATGTTTGGGGAGCCAGTTTCCATGAAAGAGCAGATGGTGTCTTTGTGTCTTTTAAGGAAAATTTGGCAGGACACCTGGAGTAACATGGATCCAACTTCTGACATTCTTGTTCACTGGACTATTTCTAACCAGCAGGCCTTCCTGCAGGGACTAATAATAGGACATGCTGAGCATTTAATCCGTGTGTGTGTGCGCTTTTCACTCTAGTTCACTAATGGAGATGGAGAAGTGGATGGACGACATACAGGTGGCGATAGAGACGGTGAAAACCAGCAATGGGCCTTCATCTGACCCTCTGACCAGCAGTCTGATAGACATCAGTAAGTTACTGCATAAACATACAGTTGCGTATAAAGGATACAAATAAACAGTGGACACACACAAACTGTCAGAAAATTCATTTTGAGTAAAAAACCCTTCGACGGAAGTCCCAGATACACAAGACTATGTGTTAATTTGTGAATAATCTGACATTGTCTGTGCTTTAGCGCCCTTCTCCCCTCATCACCCTACTCATTGTCTAGCAGTAACAACCTCCTGACTTTCCCAGAATGCCCTGAGGACTCCTCGGCGGAGGCGGAGTCTGAGGACGACATAATGGCGTCGCTCACCTCGCTGGAGAGGCCCACCCCTCACCGTGGTAACACCATGGTGCACGTGTGCTGGCACAGGAACACCAGTGTGTCCATGGTGGACTTTAGCATAGCTGTGGAGGTACCGGCCAAACCTCAGCACTCAACCCTCAGACCTGCCTCTCCTCTCCTGCTTCGCTGTTCTCTTTCTCTGTGTCTGAGTGTGCTGTATCTTAGTTTGCTTTGGTTATCTCCCACAGGGAACAGTATCCTCCTGCGTTGCACTCTATCATCGAAATATTTCTTTAAAACATTTCTTTCTTTTTTTTTAATATTAAGCTAATTAAATCAAATCCGGCTCATTCTTTTCGCTGTTTATTTTTCAAAATAAAAAGTCAAAGTACTGAAGTAAGATAATAGATAATGAGTACATCATTCACTTTCTCCATAGTTTTCTTCTTCCTTTCAGTAACTGATATTTTCTAACCTGTGCTCATTGCAAGTGGATACCAAAACAGCACTACTAATGGACAAGAACTTCACATGGTAGCTTCAAACTCATCTGCTCCAGGAAACTGAAAATTAAGAATTGTATCCATTTTGTTCGAGCTATTTTCATATTTAGATACATGTTTATTTTAAGCTGTTTATTTGCTCTTTTTGCAGCTTCAGTGTGGATACTGTTCCCTCTTTTGGCTAACAGTAGCCCGCGTGACGTCCTAATCTAAACCCAAACTGTGGCTTTCCTGTGTGGTTCTGTCCTTTTTCTCCTCCCCTGGCACTTGAAGCGTCTGATCGTCTATAAATAGAGAGAGAGAGCAGTACGTAGATGTGCCAAACGTCCTCATCTCACACCAACAGAACGGATCCTGTTTTGCCCTGATCTAGTTCTGCTCTTCCTCTGTAGTTGTAACAACGTCCTCTTCACAGCTTTGCCTGGACACACTGTCGTCGGCCTTCGTGTTTATCCCTGCCACTGCATGCCTGTGTTTCACCTACTTAGTCTCTGTTTCTGTCCTTCCCTCCCTGTCTGTTTTTTTCTCTCTCTCTGTCTCTCTCTTTTCCACATGCGTCTGTGCGTTCCTCCGTGGTAGAGGAACCTAGTCCAGTCAGTGAGAATAAGGCCCCCCTGGTGGGGCCCCCCAGTGGCCAGGGACCAGTGCCTCTGTCTGTTATCTGCTGGTACCGTGTTCAGAGCCTCTCCTTTAGTGAATCCTGCAGGAGTCTAGAGGTAAAGGAGCCAGGCAGACAGGAGAGGCCCTGTGTATGTGTTTACTTCAACAAGAAGCAGTTGCTGTGGCGCCTCATGTCTTACAGATCAGTGACGCATCATTTAATTTGACTGAAACTTGATTCTAGATCTGAACTGAAACTCGCGATAGAACAACTATGACCATTAAACATAATCTAACAGAAGGGCCAAACAATATTTTATAGTTACTTTAACTTTTAAATTATTAGATAATAAATACATTAAAGGTACTTAACGACAGGAGATTTACAGTTCACTGTATGCAGAAGTGCACATATCATAGAGCAGTGTTTCTCAACTGGTCTGGTTGTGGGACCCACCATCACCCCTTAATGACAAGCCACGACCCACTACCCAAATTATATATATATATATATATATATATATATATATATATATATATATATTCAAGAAGTCTAGTAGTAGTAACGTATCTGTGTAGTAAACAACTGCCAAATCAAATAAAGAAAGTACACACAATTATATTTTAACAAATATTATTCTAATTTTTCAAATGTAACTGGATGAATTATAAATAATGCATAGAAATACATGAATAAATGTTCTTCTCATTTCAAGTAAAATAACGGCTGGATTAAAAAATTAATTTCGTAACGAAATTAATTTTAGAAAAATTATTTTCACTGAAATGCCCTGCAGCTTCAAATTCAGTCCATTCAGGATGAAGTGAAAAGGCCACAATATTACATTTTTCTCATCTTCTAAAAAGAGAATTTAGTGTTGGAAGAATTCACCTATATGACTCTGGTCTCTCTGGCCGATTTTCTCTTTTGGAAACCGTCCTATGGTTTGACTTTCACAACTCAACAGTCCTGCTCTGCTGTCTATATCCTCGTCTCTCCCCCCTGTGTCAGGGTGTGGGTACATCTCACTCAAGTCAGGAAACTCGTCAGAATACCCATATTTGATTGGATGAGCTGCATCACGTGATGTGATTCACAACGCATTGGTCGGTGTTTTTCCTGCACCGCTGGAAAAAGTGCCGTAAATGCTGGAATAATTCCGCTGCACAAACAATGCCCTTCAAAATAAAATCACTTTTTTTTTTTTTTTTTTTTTGTAAGTCAAAGGCCCACGACCCACTGAAAACGGGTCCGCGACCCACTTTTGGGTCGTGACCCACCAGTTGAGAATCACTGTCATAGAGGACCAAGACCAACAATATGTGCATTCCAATACCCATACTACCATACTATTTGGTATGCCAAAAAAAGATTGAGTATATCTCAATACATAGTATGTCAAATGCAGTATCCCAAAAATACTGCATCTAGTCGCATTTTGCAGTATGCAAACCAGCATGCTTTTCTGGCAGTGCAGGTGTTCATTGTAATGAATGATATCAGTGCAACGGTGTGGCTCATAAATGTGTTTTTAATAGTTTTTGAACAATAATGGAGGTCTATGGCACATAGGAATAAGCTATATCAGGCTTTTGGGTTTGGGCTTTTTATGGCTATTTGTTAACAATAAGAAACATATAGAATACCACCAGATATATCCTTTAATTTTATTAATCCTTCTTCATTTTAGTCGAAAATCTAAGAACTGTAGATCATCAGTGGTATTATAATGTGTATGAATTTATGTAATTTTAGATGTAAAACTTGCTTTTTGTCTTTGTAGAATCAGCTGTCTGGAAACCTACTGCGGAAGTTCAAGAACAGCAACGGCTGGCAGAAGCTCTGGGTGGTCTTCACCAACTTCAGCTTGTTTTTCTACAAGTCTCACCAGGTGATGAACATTTGCTCTCAGCTTTGTTTGTCCAGCGAACACATCTCATCTCAGCCTCTCCCACGTTCGTTCCCTCCTCACTCTGTTGTGTTTACCCTCCTCTGGGCTTAAAGGCATCACATCTCTGTGTAGAATGTCAAATCGTTGTGCCATGATGGAGGCTTACAGGCTTTCCCATGCAGGTTTCTTTTTAATCGCTCTTCTTCACACTGAAACTTTTTGTGATAGACAAACTAATTATCAAGAACCAATGACTCCTCTGTTTAATTATAGGCTCTAAAAGTCAGAGACTAAGTAGATTTTAAAACGGCACAAATCATGTGTAATAAATTACTACCTAAAAGTATTGTGAAGTAGTTTAAAATATGAGAAAGTCAGCATGACAATAGATAAATATCCATGTATTAGAAAACAAAAGTTAAGCACTGATACAAAAGATCATTATACTGTATTTCTGTTAAAGGGCATGAGTTAGAGTTGAAGTTAGCAACTGAACCTGTGTAGCACACTTTGACTTTAATTTGATAAACAAATGTAGAAATGTATGATCAAAAGGACATGTCAGTATTTAGGGTTTTTGTGTTTGTGTAAAATGTTGACTGATGTTACTGTCAAACTGTTGTGTTTTATATAAAGTGGTTTAGTCTGGAGAACATCTGTCAGTGGTGGGAAGTAACTAATTAATTTTACTCATGCACTGTACTTAACTACAACTTTGAGATAGATATTTTTACTACATTTATCAGACAGTTGTAGTTACTGGTTACTTTACAAATTAAGATTTTACTTATTGGCTTGTGACCCCTTTGTAATAAATCAGTGTATAGTTGGAGACACATTCCAAAAAATGAAAACAAATTTATGTTGCAAAACGTAGTTTTTTTTTCCTTCTTTGTACTCTTGTGAATCACTTCATGACGGCTCAGATTTATCTTGTGACCCTCCGAGGGGGCCCGATCCTCAGGTTGGAAACCACTGGATTGAAATAGCTAACTGTAAATATAGTAGTTAAAACTAGCTCCACTACTACCATCTACAACCGTTTAATGCTTCTTATTGGGGAAAATTTCAAGAGCGACTGTCACTCTTGAATCGTTTGCTGATAATACATCTGTATTTTTACTTAAATTGTAGATGTAAATTATTTTAAAGGCAGGACTTTTACTTTTATGAGAGTATTTTGTTTGTATTTTGTCATTTTTACTAAGTAAAGAATACTTCTTCCACCACTGACTATGTTGCATGTTTTTCTGCTGTACCATTTTGTTGGGAGCAATTGCCTGTGTATTTGTTTTTCTTTTATTCCAAATAGTTTGTGTAATTATTAACAGACCAAAATAAGTGTTCATTGTAATTCAATGTCACGTTTTTTTCCCCTCAGGATGATTATCCATTGGCCAGCCTTCCCCTGCTGGGTTACTCGGTCACCATCCCCTCAGACTCTGAAAACATCCACAAGGAATACGTCTTCAAACTGCATTTTAAGTCCCACGTCTACTATTTCAGATCGGAGAGCGAATACACTTTTGAGAGGTACAGTGTAATCATTCAGATGCACAATTACTTGCTGTATTTGCAGTTTTGTTGAGTCCCGGTGATCAGAGGACTGATTAACAAGCTTTCTTCTGCCCGCAGGTGGATGGAGGTCATCCGCAGTGTCACAGTCCCCTCCAGCAGCGCTCGTGTCCTAAACAGCAAAGAGTCCCATCTTCACTGAAGTCGGCTCATCTTGTTTCCACACACCTCCTTCAGGTGGCATCAGTCCTTCCTGTCCCCCCCCCAAGACTCTTTGCTTTTCTTTTCTACACATATCTGGGACATTTGTACATGTGTCCATGCACATTTGGTGCTTTTTAATGCTTTAATGGTGACATGTCCGCTGGTTTAGACTGCATCAGAGACTGCATTTTTTTGGCATTTTTACTCTCAACTCTGAAACCTCTTTTTAAGGATGTCATTTTATACTGTTTTCTAATGGTCTGAACTACTTCCTATCTTTCTGGTTTTACATGTTGTCATTGGTTGTTTATAGATATTCAGCATTCTTTCTTAGATGGTTAAACTATCACTGCATTGTCATAACGTTTTTGTCTACTCTCTCATCTTATTGAAAACTGCTGCTTTGAAAATGTCCTGCAACTTCAGTGCCAAACTGGTTTATATCAATGTCCTGGACTTTTAAAATGTTGTTACATTGGGGATGAGGAGTGTCTCCTTATACTGAACACCATGACATTTTAAATCATGTTAAAACAGGCCACCCTTTAACTGTCAATGCTCTATTCAATACTGGTCCAGCACAATGTGTTCTTGTTAAAAACATAAGTGATGAAAATATTTTGTTGTATTATTATCATTACCCCAGGATTGATCACAATGTAGCCATGGGTAGCTGCCATCACAGATTAATGCCATTTCAATTCAAATTAATATTATATTCACGGAACTTTATTATATGAATACGTCTCAAACTGTTTCGCTTTTTTTTTTTTTTTTTTTTTTTTTTTTTTTTTTATTAACTAAAGTTCCCCTTCAGCTGTATGAGAAAGTGTGAGACTTGTTCACAATCATGGTATTATGAAGGTGGGTGTCATTGAAAGCTTTATGTGTAAAAGAAAATAGAAACTTTCAGTTCCAAGCGCCGTTGCCCTCACTGAACTAGGCTGCCTCCTGTATACAGAGATCTTTTCATGGGTCTAAATGAATGGAAATATGCATTTGACAGGGTTTAGCAGTGAAGCAAATGAAATAGAAAACCTTAGTTCTGCTTACAATTGCAGCTGGGTTTTCTTTTCTTTTCTTTCAAACAGAGAGCTCTTTGGAAATGAAAGCAATAAAAAAAAAAAACTTATTCAAACTTGGATTTGTGTTATTTGTGTTTTTGTTGAAGGTCAAGAGGCTGGAGTGAAGTTTTCTCTCGGAGAATATCAGTGCATGTACAGCTAGGCAGCTCTTCAGTGTGTTTACAGCTGTGACCTATAGATGGCATCATTGATTAAGACTTTCAGTTCGTTCAAGTCATAACCACAGTGCCTGTAAATGTCACATTCTTTATATTAATGTATAGTAAATACAAGCAATAGAAAGGCTTGTTTTGTTCTGTGCAGCGACTGTAATCACTCCAAAATATTTCATATAATTTAAAAATTCTTAATTTAGCTCTGTATGACAACATGGAGGTCAGATCATGGACCGTTATGCAGAAACAGTCATAAAAAATGATGTCATTTACTAATATCTAACCAGATTACATAGATAATAGTCTGTAACACTTGTGTTCCTCAGTTTCATTTTAGACGGTCTGAAAGTCATGTTCACCCTCTATTAGAAGACCAAATGTGAGAAATATGAAGATATTATTGACAAAGAGTGACGTAAAAATATGTATAAGAAAATAGTGTATTTTAGGTACCACGTCCTCTCACTAAATGAATCTGCAGAGATCTGTGAGTGTGGAGACGTACATAGTTCATTGGAACGTAAACAAGAAAAGAGCTACAGTGAGTACTTGTTATAACAAGTGTCAGGGAACCAGCTTCTATCTGGTTATTCTTTGAAAGTGTAGTTTCAGTACAATAGGTTTTCAAGTTTAGAAGGGACACATGTGAACACTCTAAGAGCATGCTCCCAACAGTTGTGATTTTTGTGGTGGTGGGAAACTATTGGTTCAGGCATTTAGCCTGTTTAAGAGCTTGCAGTCCAAAGTCCAGACCCAGCAGCTCTCACACACACACACACACACACACACACACACACACACAGTGGGCAGGCCTTTAAACCGGTAAGGGGCGGAGAGCGCTGAGGAGGCAACCAGATTATACACCTCCTGTCTGGCGATGGACGGCCAATGAGACACTTCTCAAGAGGATTCTTTATTATGACAACAATAAATCCGATGGAAGAAGACAGAGCGGCACCGAGACACTGCAGCGCGCGTTGACTTTTAAAAGCGAGAAGTATGAGATCGAGAAGTGCGAGTGAATCAGCAGCCACACCACAACATGACCAAGCTTCACACTCGCGGTGTTCACTAACGGGGATCATCGGAGAAACGGACACACCAGTGATGGTTTCCCTCTAAACCTCGCCCGTATAACTCGTGGATTGAACGGTCGTTGGTGCGCAACGATGTCTACTGCAGCGCACCCGGAGACCAGGAGATTTACGCGGGGTCTGGGTAAACCTGGCACCGCGGCTGAACTCAGGCAAAGTGTCTCTGAGGTGGTGAGGACGTCCGTGCTAGTTGTAAGTAGACCACACACACCTTAATACCTCCTCCTCCACCTTGACACCACCGCGGTCATTGTCCTCATGCCTGGTTAAACCTTTGTGAACCTGAGAATTACCTGCTTTTACGAATACTTTCAGCAAAAGCTCTGCTGACTTTAGATCAGCTGGGTGTGGGAGCACATGTGGGCTTTCTGGGGGAAAAGTATGGCATGTGTGAAAGAGAGTGATTCAGAGTGAATGAATGAAGGTGTGTGACTGGCAGAGTGATATTTAAAAAGGGGGTGGTTTGCACATTATGAAAATCCCTTGAAACTGTCTTTTACTTGCCCGTGTATATACAGGACATTTAATGCCTTTTTTTTTGCATTGATAATTGCCGCAACGTTTTTAAAGTCCTTCACTTTCATCCTCACCCAGCTGACTTTAGACCAGCTGGGTGGGTGCACATTTGGGCGTTCTGGGTTAAGAATTAAAGGTCATATTATTATTTGATTCGAAGAGAACGAATGGAGAGATTTTGTAAAATTGTAGGTAAACTATTGCATACACTCTATAGCCCAATACAACTATCTCTATTGCTTGCATTTTATTGTGCATTTACTTTTATTTGTGCGCTGTTGTTGGAAAAACTTCACTTCCACACACACTTGTTTCATTTATTCTAAGTGTCTTAGTTCCTGGAAAGTCTGTAAGGAATCAGTGCCTGGTCAGGGTGTTTTGTACTTGGTGTCATTGAGGGCATCAGTTTCGTTGAGATGACATAATGCCTCCTCTCAAGTGAAAGCATGTGGCTTCAATTTCATGCTTCAGACACACATATAAAGTGTCCAGTGACAGTGAGACAATGCTGAATTTGACCGTCCACTTTTGGAACATCTGGGCAACGAGGACCTGCAGTATGGGCTACCTCCTCAGTATCAGTTTTCCACAGAGCTCAGGAAGGAGTCGGCCCTTTTGTTGCATCCGAGTGTGTTAGGTGTTTGGTGCTCCTACTGATTGTTCCAGCTTTCCTGAAAGAAGTTGCTAGGTAACTGGAACGGACACCGTCCAGGCCCTCCGTCAGGGAAATGGAATCCTGAGTCAGGATCCCAGACATCCAACCACACCTTCGTATTATTTATTCATTCTTACGCTGGTGCACTGCCAGAGACGCCGGAGGGAGGAGACCAGAAATGGATATAAGTATGCATGTTGGGAAATCAACATGTCTAAAGTGGGCTTAACTAACTTGAAGAATCTCTCGTTGGACTTTTGTTTTTTGTGTTAGTATCAGCAGGCTTCCAGCAGTTCATTTGTTATCTGCAGATATGTGCAGGGGCGGGTTAAGAAACATTTGAATTTGTGGTCACTTTGCATCTCTTTGTAGTTGTTTTGTGTGTCTTTGTTGTTCTTCATTTGAGTCTGTACTCGGTAGGCCTATTCAGTAATCCTTAACATACCAAATACCTGTCTACTTCTGACTCAGGTTGTGAGGCACCAGTCTGATTTCAGGGGGGGCCCTGCCACCCCTTGCCATGCCTCAGGCCCTGTCTCTGGATATGTGAGCTGTAGAAGTGAACATATGGCCGTGTTGTTCAGTTGAGTGGGACAAGAATGTGACTGTACACGAGATCGCTGTCCACGCAACTCGTAATTAATTCCTCCATGAAACATGTAAATACCTCAGCAGGAATATAGAGGGATCTGTGCCAGAGATATAAAGAGGGGATTGTAGCGGTTATCACCCATTCTGATTGTTGTTTCAGCTTGGAACACACATTTTTCTGTCCTTTTTAAACTCCCAGAAACACATAATTTAGATTATAAAATACATACATGCCTACTGGTCAAGTGCACTGAGCTGCTCTCTTTCTTTCCCAACAATTGTTTTCACGTTCATGAAGGCACACACTTGCTAGAGCCTCTTTGTTTATTGTTGGAGTGTAGAGCAGAGAGACTTGTCTTGGCCAGAGCTCTCGGCTGAGCCATCCCTCTGTTCCTCCACGCTTTAGGCATGCTGGGAACACTATTGGCTCCATGATGGCTGTCATCAGCTTTGAATGTTGTGTTGATGTTGTGCTGGTGATTAACCTCGATACAACACAGGATGCTGCCAATCCAACTTTGCTTTGCATGGAATTAAAACCCGTTATTGAGTGTGTGCAGAGTTCTGTTATGCGTTTTGTCTGCAATACTCGGCATGTAAATGTCATTAATGTATCGGCTGATGGATATATAACAAATCAATGGTAGTTGGACATGTTTAGTTAGTGCATGCAGGGTATGAAATGTTGTCTCATTGTAATCAATAGTCCTAACTGCCTACCACCTAATGGTGATATACTCAGATCCTCAGTGTTCCTGCTCTGTGCCTGACCAAAGGGAGCTGTAAGCCAGACGGATGTCATTATGCAGGAGTGATGCCATTAGCCGCCCATGGCCAGTACACACAACTGACTGAGGGAAAGTGGAGGTCTCACATGTGTTGCAGAAAAGAACATTAGAATATTGACAACATGGACAACTATAAACAGATCACACATGTTGCTGCTTAACCTCGCTGTTAGACATTAAAGCTTGTTGGAAAAAGTCCCATGTTCAAGCTAAATTGGTTTGAAGCCTTTTGGGGGTATTTGTGTTTGTCTAAATGGCCAATGGACTATTTAGATTATTCTTAAACTGTTTGGCAGGTGGACAGCATTGTCTATCTTGTAGTTTCACCCAGTTACACATCTACATCAATAAGCTGAGTTAATTCATCCTCCCTTCATGCATATAATCACCCCCATTCCCTATTACAATCCATTCTCTCTCTTTTTACCTTTATTCCTGCATCATGTGACAGACTTTATTTTATAGCCTGTGTTTGCTCAAGTCAAACATTTTCAGTCATGAGCTCCAGATGCGTTGCATAGAAGATGCCGTTTGTGCAGTGATCTCACATTTGGTGAGGTCACTGCACAAACTGTGGCCTCTCCTTCAGCTTCACACGATAAAATACTCTCTTCGTTCTTCAGCCCTCTTGATCTAATCGCTGATACCTGCACACCTGTGCTTTTTTTGGCTTTTCAAGTTTTTGTAAATTGTCCCAAGATGTGGCAATTCCAGGATTACCTCGGGTGGGTGGGTGTGTCCCAGGGACACATTTTTTTTTTTCAACTTGTTTTGGCACAACGCGTTCCTTCTTTGATCGTCACTGAGTTAAAGTCATGTCCTCTCATGCAGCGAAGCCTAATTTGTTCGTCATGCCACTCAACAAATATGTGCTTGGTAGATTGAGCCTAGATCTGCCAAAATTGTAAGAAAATAACTTTTCCGCTTACTTGTGCGTTGGGAGCAGACGCCTGCTGGCTGTCACACATGCTGCCAGTCAGAAAATGGCTGGGCTGTCGGTGTTGTGTGAGGCCTAAGCAGCTTGACCTCCCTCTGTATTCCTCTGTCTGTCACTATTAGGCCTGTTGGTATCACTCTAAAAGGGTGCATAAGCTGTTACTGTAATAGTAAATGGTACTCTAGAAGAACAAACGCAGGGGGGGTAGAGATGGGAGAGCAGAGGTGTTCTCTGAATGGGTCAATAATACATGAGGCTGCTCTAGTAACCAATGAACCCATTGAGAGACTGTCTTTCTAATATGCTGTGGATTAGACAAGCCCAGAACTTTGATACCGTTCGGTACAAAACATATCAAACTTGTTTGACTTCAATATCTATGAACCACGAAGCCTTTCACTGGCTCACCGTTCAGAACATGAAACGATAAAGCCGTTTTTATGTTGCATAACAACAAGAGTTTGTCAAACTTGTTTTACACAATCATCTGTTGACAAATGTTGCCCTCTGAAAGTCATTTTCCTGAACAACCGTAAGCGTTCAATTCGCCATTTTATTAGGCACACCTAGCAAAAG